AGACCATGGTACCAGCCATCACTGAAAGTGACATCTAGAAGGCTTACTGAGTACTTGGAGTAGGGAGGAAGCAGAGTCATGCGGACTTGATGCCCACATGCTGGTGATGGCAACTGACTCTCACATTTGCCCTCTGCAAAGTATTTTAGCTCCGCTGGAGTATATTTTGTTTTGCAGTTGTTATTATGGTTCAGACTATAGTCAAGTGACTTAAAAGTAACTATACTACAGTTATACTTGGAGAATTTTTGTGTAATATGTGTTTTTTTTTTAATTGTATTTAAAGAACAGGCAATACTTCTATCAGCAAGAGTTTGTCGCTACCACCAGGATGAGAATCTTTGTAGCTTTTAGAAAGAAACCGATTTTATATAACATAGACTGTATAATTTACATGAAACAGGCTCGTTTGAATAAGGACACCACACTCAGTAGGCAACATATCGGCACGACCGAATGGTGCCTTAATAACACAGCAGTCTTGGCTTAGTTCCGAGAGAGCTGAGTAGGGGTAGAGCCCATTCTTGGAACTTAGGGTCTTCTTGTCTTAGTCTCCTGCTAGTCTGGCCTAGGAAGATAAATTATCGAGCACAGAAGTCTGAAAATCTAGATGGACTTGTCAGCGCTTAGATCCAGCCAAGACAGAAACTGGTTCTTTGGGAGCCCCCCGGAAAGGTGGAACATCGGACACGTGTTGCGCAATTCTTTCTCCCTCCTCGGGGTAGAAGGCGTGAGTTGGGAGTTTTCTCTCGGTCTCACTGCTGTATGCTGGGGGATGGGCCACGGCGAGTAACAGCCGTGAACTTTCCTACTGTCTGTGATGCGGTTCTTCTTGGCAACAGGCTCACCTGGGTGCAGAAACCTCTTATCTGGTTTCTGGATTTCTCGCAGAGGCAGTTGGTCCGCGTGTTGTTGCTAAGTTACATCTCCCATCTCTGTGGGCGAAAGAGAGTCGGGGGCTTCCTATCCCACCATCTTGCTGACACCACTTCCTCTATGTATTTCTTAAATAATTAAAAAATTAATTTTGAAATAGATACTAGTAATTCCTAATAATCCATAAAAACTATAATCTACAAGCTAATTTAACTACTGCTATTCATGCTTTACTATTTAAAATCCTTCTGGAAAGAGCAGTCTGAGTTTCTTCATGGAAAGACCAAAGGTGTAGCTCCTGCTTATTTATTTTTAATGTCCTTTCCAGTTCTAACTTTAAGACTGAAAAGCTTCCACTACCTGAACCAATGATAAATAGAAAGAGACAGAGTCGAATACTTGCTTATAGCTTGTGTGTGTGTGTTTTTTTTAAAATATATATTCACGATATAATTTTTGGTTTTTCAAATTTTCTAAAATAAACAATTATTATTTTTATAATATCAAATAAAGTTATAAAACCAGCAAACAAAAAGCCTAGTTTATACTCAATAGTTTAATATGATTGTA